CCGCGCTGTCGACCGCTGCACAGCCCCTCCCTATCCCTGTCTCCTGCATAACAAATACCATTGCACACAAGCGGGGTGGACGTTCATGCTACTTAATGCTTTGCGCAATTCGCCGCGTAGTCTCTGTCGCTTCCTATCACCTACGCGACTGCACATCTGCTCCCTCACCAACTCACTCAGGTCGCTTGCAATACCAGACTGTGTATGACAACTCATACGGCTTCGCCAAAACGCCTTACCGTAGTCCGCTGCTACCACTGAGCACATGGGCAACAAAAACGATTCTCATTTCTTATTGTGCAACTCCAAGAATTTGCACGCATTCACAGACATATCCTTGCTTCTACCAACGTACCTGGAACGCGGCAGACGCCATAGCCAAACCGAGCAAACTGGCCTCCCTCCAACGGCGCACTTGCTGGACCCACCAACGCATTACTAGCAAACGCGATGCCTGACACTACTATTACGCGTTCAGCAGTCGCACCTGCCGCAAACCACCTTCTGCGCTGCACAAGTAGTCCGTCTCCGATTCGTTCAGCCCGCTTGCTGTCTCGGATTCTTCCGTCTCGCGAGCGCAGATAGCAGCGCCCAACCACCCCGCCCGGTTGGTATCGCACAAGTTCCCGGATGAACCAAAACGGGCTCCGACTCCTTCCCACACTGCAACCCCATGCATAGAGAACCGAACGCATGGGCATTTATGCGTGCCACCATATACCCTAACGCAGAACAGTTCGCCCAACTGCGCCGAGCACATGCAGCAGCGCTTTGAAAGACGCACGATCTGCGCAATACAGCTCGCAATCATCGTCCCTGTAAACCCTTCACGCCAACCGTGGACACGCGCGCACGCAAACATCAATCTTTGGATGCTCTCATCTGCGCATCCGCTGGCTCTCCCACCAATGCTACGAAAACCCACATCGGCGCGCAAAGCTGACTTCAGACACAGCAAGCAAACCAAACAAGCAAGCCTAACGCCAAGAACAAAACCATGCAACTTCCTGCACAGGTAATACCTGTCCAACGGCACCTTGTTGAAGAGCCAACGAGACGCCAACGTTTCCCATACATAGAACATATATTCCACACGCACACCAAGCTGTCCTCTATCACGCCTGTTTCTGGTCGATATGGAAAGGTGCTCCAAACACCTTGACACGAGGTACCCAGCTCAAAGCAATATCAGTGCCGCACTAATTATTTGCGCCTCCTCTCAACGCAAAATAGCCTGAGCGATCTCAACGGACTAGCGACAGCCCGCTCCTCCAGGAGCTACGCGTTCGTCTGCGCTGCCCAACAGCTACACAGTGAGCTGGCAACTCTGCATCCTCTCATGCAAATGCCATGGATAGTGACACAGCGCCCGTTGGCCGCGCCTTCAACAGCAGCACAACCTTTTATATTCCTGTCTTCCGCACAACGACTCCCATTGCACACAACCGGAGTGGACGTTCATGCTGTGAAATGGTTTGCGCAAGTCGCCGCGTAGTCCCTGTCGCTTCCTATTACCTGCCGCACTGCACATGTGCTTTCACACCAATTTACCCACCGATTATGTTTAACAAGGCATATTGCGTTGCCAAAACGCCTGACCGTAGTGCCCTGCTACCACCGAAAAACACGGGGGCAGCAAAACCGATTTTTGCCTCTTATGCTGCAACCCCAAGAATATGCACGCATTCACAGACATATCCATGCAGCCATGCAGCCGGAACGCGGCAGCCAACATAGGCAAGCCGACCAAACCGGCTTTCCTCCAACGGCGCACTTTCTGGACCCGTCCACCCATTACTAGCAAGCGCAGTGGCCGACACTACTACCACGCATTCGGCAAAAACCGCCGCTTAGTCGCACCTGTGGCAAAACCACCTTCTGCACTGCACACGCACTCCGTCTCCGGTTTGCTCAGACCGTTTCCTGTGCTGGACTCCACCGTCTCGCTTGCGCACATCGCAGTGCCCAACCACTCCGCCCAGTTGGTATCGCACAAGTCCCCGGATAAACCAAAACGAGCTCCGACTTATTCCCGCACTGCAGCTCCATACATATTCACCCAAATGCATATGCATTCATGCGTGCCACCGAACAACCTGACGCGGAACAGTTCGCACAACTGCGAGGAGCACATGCAGAATCGCTTTGAAAGACGCACGATCTGCGCAAAACATCTCGCAATCATAAGACCGGAAAACGCTTCGCGCCACGAGCGCCGTTGACGCGCTTGCACGCAAACATCAACCCCTGGATGCTCGTACCTGCGCATTCGCTGGCCCTCCAACCAATACTGCGAACACCCACATCAGCGAGCAAAGCTGACTTCAGACACACCACGCAAACCACACAAGCAAGCCTAACGTAAGCACAAGGCGATGGAGTTGGCTACAGATGGAATACCTGGTTAACGGCACCTTGTTAAAAAGTCAACGAGACGCCAACGATTCCAATACATAGAATATATATTCTGCACACTCACCAAACTGCCCTCTATCACGCCTGTCTCTGGTCGTTATGGAAAGGTGCTCTAAACACCCTGCCACGAGGAAGACAGCTGAACGTGCCGCACTCATTAGCCGCTCCCCTTTCAACCCAAAATAGCCTGGGCGACCTCAACGAAGTAGCGACAGCCCTCTGCTCCAGGAGTTACGCGTTCGTTTGCGCTACCCAACAGCTACACAATGAGCTGCCAACTCTGCATTCTCTGACGCAAATGCCTAGATAGTGACACAGCGCCCTTTGGCCGCGCCGTCAGCCGCAGCACAGCCCTTCCCCACCCCTGTCTTCCGCACGACACAAACTACCACTGCACACAACGGGAGTGGACGTTCATGCTACTTAATGCTTTGCGCAAATCGCCGCGTAGTTTCTGTCACTTCCTGTTACGTACTGCACTGCACATCTGCTGCATCACCAATCCACATAGGTCGCCTGCAATGTCAGCCTATGTGTGACAACGCATACGGCATCGCCAAAACAGCCAACCGTAGTGCGCTGCTACAAATGAGAAGCACAGGGGCAACAAAAACGATTCTCACTTCTTATGCTGCAACACCAAGAATTTGCACGCGTTCACAGACACATCCATGCTTTTACCAACGTAACCGGAACGCGGCAGTTAGGCTTCTCTCCAACGGCGCACTTGCTGGACCCACCCACGCATTACTAGCAAACGCGATGCCTGACACTACTACTGCGTGTTCGGCACAAACCACCGTGCAGTCGTGCCTGCTGCAAACTTCCTTTTGCACTGCATATGCAGTCTGTCTCCGGCTCGCTCAGACCGTTTCTTGCGTCGGAGACATCCGTCGTGCGAGCGCACACCGCAGCGCCTCACCACCCCGCCCGGTTGGTATCGCACAAGTGCCTGGATGAACCAAAACGAGCTCCGACTCCTTCTCACACTGCAGCTCCATACATATGCACGCAAACACATGCGCATTCATGCGTGCGCCAAAAACCCTAACGCGGAACAGTTCGCACAACTGCGCCGAGCAGATACAACCGCGTTATGGAAGACGCACGCGCTACGCAATACATCTCGGAATCACAGGGCCGGAGAAAGCTTCGCGCCGCGGGTGCCACTGACGCGCGCACGCAAGCACCAACCACCAAATGCTTGCATCTGCGCATCCGCTGGCCCTCCAACCAATACTGCACCCGCACCAGCGAGCAAAGCTGACTTCTAACACACCCCGCAAACCACACAAGCAAGCCTAACAAGTACAAGACGATGGAGTTGGATACAGATGGAATACCTGTCCAACGGCACCTTGTTAAAACGCCAACGAGACGCCCACATTTTCAACACATAGAACATATATTCGGCACGCACAGCAAGCTGCCATCTATCACTCCTGCCTCTGGTCGCTATGGAAAGGTGCTCCAAACATCTTGACGCGAGGTAACCACCTAAAAACAATACCAGTGCCGCACTCATTACTTGCGCGTCCGCTCGACGCAAAACAGCCTGAGCGACCTCAACGAACTGATGACAGCCCGCTGCTCCAGGAGCTACGCGTTCGTCTGCGCTACCC